CGCAGCGCTGTAATTCCTTCACTGTTCATTCATTTATATAGAATGACCTGTCAGCACTTCTGCTTGCTGTGCGTGAAACATGCCGAGGATGGAGAATGATCAAACCTGCGTCTTCAAGTGGTGCGCTGGAATCGGAAAAGCTCACAGCGTGTCAGATGTTTAAGCGTAAATGTTATCGAACTGCACGCTTTTTCTCGAGTGTGTCGTGTTTTATTCACTTTACCAATCATTTTAACTGACTTCTTTCCAGACAGTCTATGATAATCTATAGATTACCATATATACCAAGGGCTGCATACTGTAGAATATCATTGTTTAACCTGCTGAATACACAAGCAGTTTCTAGAAGTTTTTTTTGCTGCTGTCACATTTTTCCGGGTGACTCCACACGCTACAGATATTTTACATTTTCAGTTTGTTTCCATCCGTATCGCCTATCTGCTCTGTTTAAACACAGCCTGCAGTTCAGCTGAAATACAGAATCTGATGAGTGTAAGTCAGCAGGGGTGTCCAATCCTGGTCCTCGAGGGCCACAGTCCTGCATGTTTTAGATGTTTCCCTCTTCCAACACACCTGATTCAAATGACCAGGATCGTTATCAGGCTTCTGCAGAGCTTGATGATGAGCTGATCATTTGAATCAGGTGTGTTGGAAGAAGGAAACATCTAGAACATGCTGGACTGTGGCCCTCCAGGACCAGGATTGGACACCTCTGGTGTAAGTCATTATTTTTTAATTGGATGTGTAGAATAAAGAGATTATCATGATTTATCACAATTTAAGCATTGATTAGGTTAATTATTCAGATAAAACTGTACCTCATAAATGATTAGTTTGAAGACTGCCAGGAAGGTACAAATCTGGCAAATCTTACTGGTTTTTGTTTTTGGCTCGGATTCAGTTGAAAATTCTATAAATGTTTTAAAGATACCCTTTAACGATGCCCTTCAAAGTTTTTGGGGTTCAGAGGGTTAAAAAATACAGTTTTTACTTACACAAAATACATTTTTAAGATAAATACAGGTTACCATGAATACAAATAATAAACTTGTTGTTTCCTAAAATTCTCCAACACAATCATTCCATCAGCGGGTAAAAAAGGGGGAATTTTCAGCTCAAATGTTTTCCATGTCTTAACCTCTTAAAACTCGAGCTCTTGTTTAATATGCTTTTTAAAAAAAAAAAAAAAAAAACAATTCCTCTTTGCTATTTGATGTGATCAAATAGCAGAGAGAAATTAAAAAAAAAAAACATAAAGAAAATTTAAAATATATTTTAAAAATTAGCTAAAATGTATAGAAATAAATAAAATTGTACATAGAAATATAAAAAAAATAAATAAAAAATAAAAATAACTAACAATAATAAGATAATAATTAAAAAATGAAATTAAAAAATTATCTACTGTTGTAATACAACCCAAAATATGATGTCTACACATGTGGACACCAGGTCTTAAGAGGTTAAATTTTTTGGATAACCAAAGTAATTTCCAAAATATCTTATGGTCATCCAACCCTTAAGTGACTTTCTTATAAATTTAACCATTTCCAACCGATGAATATTTCCATGTTTGCTAATTGGGGTTCACTTTGTCTAGAAGTCATGAGAGCAGAGGCAATGAAAAGTGACATTTTGAGAACAGCCACATTAATCGGGTCACGGGCAATGAAAAAAGCCAGTTTTTATCAGTTTGACTGGTCTGAGCCATGTGTTCAGACGTCTGCCGGCGGAGAGCTTTATGTCCTATGGATTGTTTACAAACTGCCCCCTGCGTGGCAGTAGCAGGTGGTCCAGTTCAACCAGAGGCGTGTCACTCGTCCAGCAGGGACGGCGGCATCGGACTGGCACGGGCCGTAAACAAGACATCCAGTTAGGTTTCCTCGCTGCGGCCTCCGAGCGTCTCAGGTGGTTGCGTGGAATCTTGACTCTGCACAGAAAGACTGAGCCGACATTCAGAATCCCAACACCTCAAACTTGGCATCGCGTCTCCCTCCTTAGCAGTTGCCTAAAGTGTATAATTAGCATCTGCTATTTTAGAAACAGGCGTCCCCGTCTCAACACCCCGCTATCTTACACTTCTCTCTATTTACCCTGGAAATATTTTTGGAGCAGGCATGCGAAGTCATTTGGTAACACTTCACTTTGACGAGACTTTGGTGTACATTCATTGCCATCTTGTGAAAAATCTACATGCACAACTCTTTCTGCAGGGTTGTAATCACATTAGAATAAATTCAGAGTGTCTTCATGTGGCATTTTAAGACATTCATAATACACAAGTCCAAGCTGTGTTTATAAAACAGAACAAGCAGTACGTGGTTCTTTGGAGCGGCGTGTCCCCTTTACAAGACATGAAGCGGCCCCTTGTGAGACTTTGTTGCATCACTTCTGTTGTACTTTCAGTGTCATGGCCTGAAAACATTGTCGGCCTGAAAACGCTGTCCTTGCCACTGTTGTGTGTTTTATTTTAGAGCTGCTTTGCGGCCCAACTTCTCGGACGGGACGCTCCGTGTGCCTTTCAAGTGTTCGTACCATTAAAATAGCTGTCAGGAGAAAATGCGTGCAACTGTGTTTGTTTTGCAACGAGATAAAGTTTCAGTCAGATTGTGGCATCTCTGTTGGTGCAGATTAACTTGGAAAATGAAAAGAATGTTTCCTATCAAGAAGTAAAGCTTCGTGCTCAAACCTGCACGGTCGTACATTTTTCACAGATGTACCATAAAAAAAACAAGGAAAGAGGTGTTCCTTTTGATTCAAAGAGAAGTGCAGCGTTGTGATGGTTATAAAATATGCAGTAGCGACCTCACAGCGTGGCATGCCGGGTTTATTTATGTGACCGGTTGACACTGTCTCAAGCTTTGCTAATCAGGCAGAAGTGATTCGTAAAGGTTTTCCTTAAGCGTGTTTGGAGTACCGATGGTGTCTGTCAGCAGAATATAAAAATGATCTAGTTTTAAATTTGATGGCACAAGAAGCAGAGGTGCAAGAAGAAGGTGAACCATTGTGTGTGCTGTTCTTTTTACTAGTGTTGGTTAGAGCCCGACTGATATATCATTTGGCCGATATTATCAGCCGATATCGGTCTGTCATAGAGATATCGGTATTCATGTACAGAATGTGCAATATACGCCAAAATAAAAACTTTCTTTAACAGAAAATAATGCAGAAAAAGACATAGTTTGTCCCAAAGAGGAGCTCAGACTCCACTAATACTGTCTGCAGCACATGTAGCAGAGTACATATCACAGCAGAGTCAAGCTTTGTCTATGACCGATATATTGATGTATTGTTTTTTTTATGTCCTAAAACTGGCATCAGCCCCCAAAAAATCCAGTTTTGGATTGACTCTAGTGTTGGTGATAATCTGGTCATTTGTACATGTTGTAAAAAGTGAGAAAAAACAAAGAGGGTCAATGCATGTATTGGCTTCAAGCCCACAGATCAATGGAAGGCCATTGATAGCAGATTTTTAAGGCCACATGCCTCAAGTTTCAAGATGTTTAACTTCTTGCTGATACTAAATACAAAGCAGTTAATGACGGCTGTGACTTAAGATGGATAGGTTGAGTTGACTTTCTGGTAGCTGGTCATTCTGGTCATTGGCTTTATTATGATGCAGACTGAGAGGCAAACATCTGCCGTCACAACTAACTCCCAGCAGAGCTACAAGATAAGAGCTCCAAAGGTATGTTTAATGTGATCAGGCCTTTGTCATTTAGTGACTTCTCTCATGATCAATCCAGCTGTGTCATTGTTCGCAGCATTGATGTTTTTCTTGTGCTTTAACAGATTAGTTAGAAATCTGTTCTATTACAGTCATCATCTGACTGTATGTTACTCAATTTTTCCACAGTTACAGTGTTTTTGGTTTTTGGTTGTGCTTTCAGTTTCCTTCTGACCTGTGGACAACAGATCACATCTGGACATTTGTTGCTCTGTTGTTGATGCTGAAGAAGTTTCTCCATCTCCAGGTTGTTGCAACTGTGTTTATTTGCATAGTTTTAAATCCACCGTATGTAATTTCTGTAGTTGGGGGTCCATCAATCAAAACAGTAAATCATTGCTGATAAAAAAAAAAAAAAATCAAAAATCCATCTGGTTTCGCAGAAATCATGTTTTAATCACATTACACTGAGTCACATATACTCACCTCATGTCATTTCATGACTAATGAAACAGCACAATTAACTTCTTCTTCTTCTTCTTCTTCTTCTTCTTCTTCTTTCCCCACACTCTTTCAAATATCGTCTGTGTATCCCTATGAGTAAAGGACATATGATGCCATTGACGGGCAATCAGAATGAAACCCAGCGGAATGGACTTCTCTGGGTTTGAATATTGTTGGTGAACAAATCAGCAAAATTTATAACCTTGGTTAAGTACTTTTTAGACATTTTAATGCAGAAATGATTGGTATTATAGCTTTAAATCAAATAATACAGAGACAAAAACCTAAAACAACTTATTGAACACCTTTTTATCTATTAAGAAATGTCATATCTTGGAAAAAATGTAATGGAATGTAAAGCTGTACTGACTTTATGTGTACTAGATCTTATGTTGTCCTGATCGCTAAGCTGCCACATATAAATCACAGTCATTAAGTCACTGCTTTCTATTTAGTATCAGTGAGACATGAAACATCCTTAAAGTTACGGCCTTAAAAATCAATGTTTTGGCGCTACATTTCTGAGTATGTAAGACTTTAAAACCTCAAATCCCCTGTCAAAGGCCATCGATTGATCTGAGACCAATAGTTTTCTCTTTGTACAGAATGTAGAAACCACCAAAGATCAAACACTAGAGTCCATCCAGTGCCGGGTTTTACATGTGAAGAGAGTTGCACCGAAAATCTGAGTGAAATGTAAACTTGCACATTGGCAGGTTCAGTCAGAAATGAGTCAGGATCATTCTGTGGAAGAGTCCCTCCCATGACTCCCACCTCTCATCCTCCCCTCCCTGAGTGTGTGTGATGGGAGGAGCTCTGGTTTAGTGAGTGAGGCTGTAGTAGGACGCACAGAGCCCGAGAGCGTGGACCAGCGGACTCGGAGCTGTCATCCAAACAGAGCTTCAAACTCTGCTGTTTCTGTGGATTTTTCTTCTGACATTTCCCCCCGAGGAGGAATTAATCTGCCTCGCGTGTCACCTAAAGGAAACCTGTTTTAGATCTGAAGGGAGTTTTTTGTCTCACAGCTGACTGGGACAGAGCGTAAGTACTGCTGTTACAGAGACTACCCTTGTGTTCATTAACTGTGTGGTGCCGTGGCTGCATGAATCATTGATGTGAGTGCGCTGCAGTTCTGGTTACCTATTGAAACGACGCCAGGATAACCTGTCATTTCCCTATTAGAGATGTATGAAGTTTTTATGAGCGAGCCAGTGTGGGGTTTCTTGTTAGTTTCTCTCTTTAAAGGGAAGAGTGGGTGTGAGCTGACACGAGACAGCCCTCTATCCTCTGCAGTAGGTCTTTATCGTAAGGTGATAGCAGGGCAAAGGGGTCATTAAAGACCCACTCTGAGAGCAAGCCTCTGTGTGTGTGTGTGTGCTGGGTTGTTTTTCTTGTGCTTGTATTTGTGGGTGATACCCTCACATTAAAGGATGTTGGTCTTATTTTCTTTAGAATCACAGCTATTTACCAGGGTGTGTTATATTTTAAGGCTTGCCGGCTCGTGTGCGAGTGTGTCTAGCAGCAGAAGAGGCTTTAAGCCGAGGCACAGCTCATCACTGGGGAGAGGGGCCTCTTTTCCACGGATAGTGAGTGAGTGAATGTGGCAGCAAGTGCACACACATCCTCTCCACAGCTGGGAAACTCTGCGAGAACCCAGAGGGCTGTGGAAAATGTGATGGGCGAAAGCAAGACTGAATATAAATATCAACACAAATTTTCAACGCAGACCGTGCGGTCACGACGTTTGAGAGCCAGCGCGGTGAAACTCGAGTTTTGACTGGACTTTTTGTATCAGGACACCGGATAGGGGTCGGCGACGTGATGCTGGAACGGCACGGAAGCATCAGGTGTTATTGTTTGAAATTCAGATGTGTCACCCACACACTGCTGGCAGCACAATCAGCGCCGATGCCAAATTGTCAGGAGCGTGGGTGGTAGTTAATGGATAGAGACCATAAATGGAAACGTTTGACAAAAGTCAGTGAGGTCAAGATTTCTATTTATTCCTTTTTGCTTACTTTCGAGTGTGCGGCCTTTCATTTGGAAATCTCTTGAACTCCTTCCTCCTTACGTCAGAGTTTGCAAAGTAAACTGTTTGATAAATCAGCAAGGAATATAATTGTTTTTACATTTAAAGGTTAAAAATGCAATGTTAACTTTCTTTTTCTTACATCACATCTTCTTTAAAGATATGAATATGCAACTAGTGCTAATTTAAGAACACATTCTGCTGGATACTTAGTTGACTGTAGATGTAAATCCTCTCAGTGTTATGACTGTTCTGCTTGTGTGAGTTGCTTCTTTTACCACAACTGACTAGCTTCACCTCAGAGATATTTTCTGCCTTTAAAAGATGAATTCACAAACAGCCTTCTAGTGTCAAACTCAGCACGTACATCATTCTGCACAGCGAAGGTCAAACATCCAAATGATGTGACAATAAGCAAAACACATTTTGGACTGAAGGGCAACTTTTGCATCCTCGGTAAGTTACCCAAGAGAAAAATCAGCATCACTGTCACATTTTATAGCCTCGAGAAAACTTGATATCCCTCTCAAAGGCCTATCTGTGTCCGTCTATACCGAAAGGGCAGCTGGACATGAGAGATAACCCTCCCAACCAAGCTTTCACACAGACACAGATTCTCAAGTGATCAACAAACACCCAACAGAACTGGCAAAAAAATGGGAGCTTTCATGAATCCTTGAGAACGGTTGATTATTCCACAAGAGGGTGGAATATAATCGACTGCGCTGTCACATTTGTGACAGAGAGTTTTTCTTTTATGGCCTCGTATATGGAGATTCATCTGTCTGCTGTAGGAGAAAAGCTCGTCTGTGCTGACCTTGGCCTGCTGTTTTCTTTTGGTTTGATCCACAAAGAAAACAGCTGGCAGTTGCATTCTGGATACCGGCGGCCTTGACAATGAACTGCCTGTATGATGCTGTCAGAGAAGCTTTGGCTCGTTGGTAAAGCATGGTGCCTGTTATATCAATAGCTCCAATCCAGACTTCACAAAAATCTAATTTACGACATGGTGATAGTTACTCGCAGAAAAAAGCCCGACTTAACTGGAGCGCTGAAACATTCCTCTGCAGTTTGAAGGAGTATTTGATGCAGTGCTGTACTACATCAACTCTGCTGAGAGGAACATAAGCAAAAAAAAAAAAAAAGGTAAAATTATGGTTCTGTGTTGTGAAGCAGCTCAAAGCGGCGAACAACCTGTTGCACATTAGTGGAAAAAAGACAGAAGAAAAAGCTCGTGCTGCACACTGTTGTATCACAGATTAATCCCCTATGCTGGCCCCATATGCACATTTCTATTCTTTCAGCATGTCCCAAGGGTATTTTCTCAGCATTAGGCTACTCTGATCCTTCTTCTTCATCTGTTTATACAGTCAGGTTGACTTTCGCCCCGTCATTTTGTGAGAGAGAGAATGAGAGAGACAGATTTTTCCATTTCTGATTTACTATTATGTACTGTGTTTATACTGTATGTTTTTATTCCCATGTGGTTCGGTGTCACAAATGTTAGTTTTTTGAAATGCATGCCAGTAACACGAGTTTACACAATGTGTTACATGCTGAACCGGTCACAGTTCACAGAATCACAGTTTGCAGTTATGCCTTCCAAAAACAAATTCAGTGTAAGTGCATTCAGCCAAAATATTGCACGCTGCACGCTAAGACAAGATCTGTGCTTACTGCAGCAACATAACGTGGGTAAAATGAAAGCACGGTCCAGAGATGCAGTGTTGTCTCCTCTAATTACTCTGCAGAAGACATACAGATCCAGATCCAGAGGGCTGCATGTTTAAAGAGTTCTAGTTTTGTTGAAGCCTATTAAATTATTATCAACTTAATACATTTGTACAATGAAGAAAGGAACACTCAAGAATGATGGAATTGTTTAACCATTACTGCTGTATATACTAGAGCCTGTCCAGGACTGGATTTTTGGGGCTGTTGCCAAAGTTAGGGGGTAAAATCTTTATATAGAGTTGTAGTGATATTAAAAAGGGAACTTTTATTAACTTTCCAGCAATATATTTGACAAACTAGTTAGAAACTGACCACGAGGACACAGCTTGACTTTGCATCCCCATCTGCTCAGCTCTGTTATATACTCTGCTACATGTGCTGCTAACAATATTATTGCAAACAATGGAGTCAGAGCTGCTCTGCTGGACAGACTATGCAATGACACCATTTCTAAATTTCTAACCCAAGCATCATCTTATGCATTATGTTCTGTAAAAGAAAGTTTTATATCAGACATTTTAGCGCTTGTATCTGGCGATAATATCAGCTAAGCAATGTATTGTTTAGGCTCTAGTATATACCATGTTCCATTCATTATGTGACACTGACCAAAGCTATTTTGTTTCTTTGATGACATAATTTGTCTCATAAGGTCTTGTCCTTTCAATCAAATAACATGATTTGTGTGTGTTTGCCCAGTTGTCGCCATCACATTTCTTGTTGTTTGCGGACTTCTCACCCATGTTGCCATAGAAGTGCAGATTCAGAGTTCATTTTTGACCTTTGAAAAGGCAGCTGACAAAATAATCTCACCACCAAAGTCTACACAATGGCTGCTCTGGACCTTTTAATCACATATTCTTCAGATGCTGTGATTTTTATCTGACTTCCTTTGTGTTTCTGTTTGTGTCGACTAAAACGGGAGAGAAAAGGGTTAATAGCTGAGGCAGCGAAGGAGGGGTGGGCTTTGGAGTGGCCAGCCACTTGTAACCTAAAGGTTAAACACAGGCCTTCTGGGAGTCCTATTACTGTGTACTCACTGATGGGAACTTTGCAAACATGCATTCTGGGAGCACAGCGGGCTCCTCTGTTTATTCCCAGTCTAGTGCTGTGCCATGATGTGGGAAATGACTGAGGACGTGGAACATAGCCAGATCACTTTGTTTTTGCTCCGGTGTCTCAGAGACCATCAGATCTGCCTTTGAACCAGTACGAAACACGCATCAAAAACACGTCACGCGCTAATGAAGCTCTCCGGGACCTTGCCTCGCACATGCAGCGCTTTATTTAAACTGTACACAACCCTTTGAAACAGCTTCGCAAAACCATGTGGAGTATGTTTACACGTCTGTCAGCATTTCTTACGTGCTGGTGTGAGAATTGCAAAATTGTCTTTTCGGAGCGCGTTTCCATCACCCTTCACCTCACACCTGTTCCTCTTGCATGTTGCATGTTTAATTATAAAGTTCTATTTTTGTTCCCCAAGTTATGCACCTCCACACTCCTGACACTGGAGATCACATAAAGCCAATACACCAGGTTGTTGTTGTTAGTGGTCGAGTGTGTTTGTGTGCTTCCCGACACGAGTACGAGAGAAGGCCCGATGATTGAATCAGCCTCCGACCGAGCCTTGTTTAGCAGCCCGTCCCTCCCCCACCGCTGTGATTTGATATCTCTGAGCATTCCAGGTTGTGCCCTTTACTCCGCTAATGGTGCTACTGACCCTTAAAGACATTCCTGCCGTAGCTCTCTGATCACAGACGTCTAATTGCCTCATCGTAAACAAGCTCTACTTTCTTTTAATATTAATGCGCCCCTTCTTCACTGAGAAGCTTTTTACAGCAAGATATCCGATGCACATTAGCGATCGAAAGACTCCGATTGACTGACAAAGTTGTTCCACAAATAGAGCGAGGTGGGTCAATGCCTGAAAGTTGTGAATGAGAAGGAGGATGACGGAGAAGATGCTGGTGTTTAGTCATTTCATGCCCTGCTAAAATCCAAAAACAGTGCAGGGGGAGGTCACTGTGCACCTTTCATCCCTCACAAACACTCCTCACTTGACTGACCTGGAAATATGTAATGCTACCTGCTCTGTTTTCTGCTTGGTGCCCCCTGCTTGTGTGTGAAATAGCCCAGAGCTAGAATATTATACACCTCCTTGCCCCTGAGTTTTTCATAGAGAAATGTGACTTCACTTAGTCGGTTTGTTGTCCCCAAAACCCTTTAGCCGTCAGAATTTTAGGGAGGGCCGCATCCAGCGATTTTTCTAACTTTG